CAATTGCATTCGACGATACCATCGTGTTCTGCTTCTCTGTACGAGAAGATGTGCGTCTGAGTTCGTTCACAAGAAATGCGCCGTGAAATCTCTTCATGAAATTAAAAGAGCGGCGCCCGATAATATATTCGTTTGTGCGTAGGATAGAATTGAGTACAAGTGAGCCAGTGGAATGATGACGAACTTTAATATATTGATGGTAGCTCTGAGGCTGATTTATTTTCTTTCATGATCGTCGTAATTCCAAGTGACAACTTCGGCCTCCGCTCAGAAAATATTTTACCGCGTGGCGGATAGAAACACCATCGTTTTGGTTTATTATACTGCGACCGCTGGACATATTGTGAAAGCCCGGGACAAAATGTATTTGTTCTGTTGAATAATGATTTCTCGTGAGGTCGTCCGCTCGCTGTTACGGCTTAATGAATACCTTATCTCCGAAAAAGTAGGATGTAGCTACATATACAAATAAAACGCAGATGTTGGCCAGTTTAATTGCGACACGTAGCGGATTACTTCTCGTCGTCTCGCCTACAAATCACCGTTGCGCTCGGTAACTTCTCGAGAGAATGATTAGGTGAGGCTTAGGTGTGTCTGTCGTCCTTTGCTCAGTTGTTCCTTGGACCTTCATTCTCTCCCTTGCATATTTGAAGGTATCTTGTTGTCACGTTAGTAAAAATAACTTGCTCGTTGCGGGATTGGAAGCCGATTGATACCGATCGGGCGCTCTCTCCTCCGTCGTACACATGTACGCATCTCAAAATGTTACCATACCGACTGGCTGGTGATGCCTTTGCGGGCATGCTTATCAAATCGACCAATACGCGCGATTACGTATTAACCATTCTCGTTTTAGTATATATGATGTACGAGGTGTGATCAAAAAGTAAGATGAATTTTTATTTTTCTCAAAAAATATTTATTTATTCATCAATTTTTATTTTATCTCCTTCAAAGTAATCCCCCTCGGATATAATGCACTTGTGCCAACGCTTTTTCCAATCCTCAAAGCATTTCAAAAAATCATTTTTTGTGATCTTGTTTAGTTCATCCTTCGATGCCGTCTTTATCTCCTCAATCGTGGCAAAACGCCGTCCTTTCATGGGCCTCTTCAGTTTTGGGAACAAGAAGAAGTCACAGGGGGCCAGATCTGGGGAATACGGTGCCTGTGGTATCGTTACTGTGTTGGTTTTAGCCAAAAATTCGCGCACAAGCAACGATGTGTGAGCAGGGGCGTTATCATGGTGCAAAAGCCAATTTTTATTTTTCCACAAATTCGGACGTTTCTGGCGGATTGCTTCGCGCAAATTGCGCATAACTTGCAGGTAATATTCCTTATTTACTGTTCTACCCTGTGGCAAGAACTCATGATGCACCACGCCCCTGCAGTCAAAGAAAATTGTAAGCAAAACCTTTACATTTGATCGAACTTGGCGTGCTTGTTTTGGTCTTGGTGATCCAGAATGCCTGGACGCTTGACCACTGGGACGATTGACTCTTAGTCTCGACGTCATAACCGTATACCCATGTTTCGTCACCTGTTATAACCCTGTTGAGTAAATCTGGATCATCGTTGACGTCATTCAGTAGCTCTTGGGCGATGCTCATACGACGTTTCTTTTGGTCGAAATTGAGCAATTTCGGAACAAACTTCGCTGACACTCGTCTCATATCTAAAACACTCGTCAAAATTGATTGGCACGAATCAAATGAGATGCCAATATCATCAGCAATTTCTCTAATGGTAATTCGACGATTTCCCAACACTATTTTCTTCACTTCTTCAACATTCTCATCAGTTGTTGATGTGCTGGGGCGTCCAGAACGAGGTTCGTCGTCGGTGTCTTCTCGGCCTTCTTGGAAGAGTTTATACCACTTGTAAACATTTTTTTGGCTTAAAGTAGACTCACCGTATGCCACTTTCAGCATTTCAAGTGTTTTGGAACATTTGATTCCATTTTTCACACAAAATTTAATGCAAACTCTTTGATCCATATTTTTAGACAGCAGCAAATCGTGGAGCACGCAAAACACTTCTAACCTTGATGCCTCTCACAAACAAACCAAACATACTACAAAGCTGAAATTTGGAACGTATGTTCTAGACGAGTGTACCGACATAACCAAATAAAAAAGTCGAAGATCGAACGGACGTAGCCCGCTAAATTTCAAAATTCACCTTACTTTTTGATCACACCTCGTATGTGTGTGTGTATGTGTATTTGTGTATTGTATGTATGTTGGCGTTAATAACTTAAGTTGTATGCAATGAAATTTATCATATAATAACTCATTCCATGCGTTTTAAATTGTAAAGGATGCAAACAATTGCAAACATTCAAATTCAAGATTATGTGATTATTTTATTTTTGAAAAATATTTTGTAATTGTTTTCTTCGGTGTTGCATATAAAATTTTGTAAATTTTGTAACACAACCTTGTAATACCTTAATTTTTGTTCAACTTAAAATAAGAATATCTTTTTTAACTTCTTCCAAAAGAAGGTTCATCAAAAATAGAAAATTTTCATTACAAAAATCATAACTTTTGACATTATTTAGAAATCTTTCTGAAAATATAACGGAAGTCGTGTTATGTATGAGGGTTGCTATTTATATTTTGTGCGTAATAATGAAAAGACAGTAATTTATTATGGAAAATGGCTTTATTATTTTTTGAAGTATTCTACATGATGATACACTTGCAAGCGCTCGAACCAATTTTCGTAACACTTTTTCCACTCCTATAAAGGTACCTCCAAAACACGGTTTTTGAATACATCAACGGCTTCTTCAGAAGCCGAAAAACGTTGGCCACACAATTTATTTTTGATGTGAGGGAATAAAAAGAAATTATTAGGTGCTAAATCAGGGCTGTATGTTGGATGACCTATTAATTCGACGTCGGTGGTTGTTTCAGCCGATGTATGAGAGCTTGCATTGTCAAGGTGAAGAATAATCCTTCGTTGCTGGTTATTCTTTCGTATTTCACCAAGCACTTCTGGCCAACAAATGGTTGTGTACCATTCAGAATTCACAGTTCTACGTTGCTCTAACGGTACGACCGACACATGTCCAGTTATTCCGAAAAAACAAGCGATCATTTGCTTCGAGATGCTTCGCGCAGGAACCACTTTTGTCGGATTGGGCTCATCTTGGAAGACCCATACAGCGGATTGCTGTTTTGTTTCGGGCTCATACGCATAGATCCAAAATTTGTCACCTGTGTACATGTTATACACAACTTTTGATGCACCGCGATTATATTTCAGGAGCATTGTTTTGCACCAATTGACACGATCATCTTTTTGAGCTTTTGTCAAATTATGCGGGATCCAACGCGAACAAATCTTTTCAACAGCTAAATATTCATGCAATATGTTATTGATGCTCATCATACTAATGCCCAAGGATGACTCAATCTCACGATAAATTGCATGACGATCTTGCAATATCAGTTCGCGTACAGCATCAATGTTTTCTGGCACAACAACTGATTTTAGACGACTTTCACGATTTTCGTCCCTGAGCGAACTACGACCACGATTAAATTCGTTATGCCAGCGTTTCACAGTGGCCAAGAATGGGCTTCATCACCAAAAGTCAAAGTAAATTTATCGATGGACTCTTGTCGCGATAATCCACGTCGAAAGTCGTAAAAAATCATCGCACGAAAATGTTCACGAGTTAATTCATTTTTTCACTGCGATAAAATTTTCAAGTCGCTGTAGACAACACAAGTTGTATTTAAATGACAAAATGTTCTAAAGAAGGTTATGTTTCAAAAGGTCAAACTTTTAATTGGAAACATCAGATAGCGCCTGTAAACACTTGGTATGCCAAGGCTCAAAATATAAACAGCAACCCTCGTAACAAGTAAATCTTCATGAAAATTTAAGATTTTTATATTTGATAATTTTTGAAAAAAATACATTTTTGTCTAACAATAGGCCGTTTCTGTATTTATTTCCTTGATGCCTATCGAAACCATAGATTTGCACTGTCCGTTTATTGAATAATCACGATTTTGCTGATTCGTCCGTTGGCTCTCACAATTATTCGTTCACCACATTCATTCTGAGAATACATATACGTATGCACTTACATACCGATTTTTTCTGTTCGTCATTTTTTTCGATTTCTGGACAACTGTGTATTTGCGCATGGCAAATTCATGCCCTTGAAATAATTCATGCGGAGGATTGTAGGTAAAATCCAGTCATCCGGGTTGTTAATTGAAATTCACCTTTATACTACCTGTAAGATATTTAGCTAATGTTTATCTTCGACTATTTCTTAACTATTATTTATTTTTCATTATTTTCAAACATTGCAAGTTGAATGTTAGCAAGTAACGAGCTAACGCATATTTCAAATTTACACTAATATTCATTCTCACTGTAGTATATCGCTAAAAGGTAAAATAATTAAATGTTTAAAACTAAATTAGTTTATTCTATGTTTCCTACTTATCAGTGCATTAGTACAATAGTCGGTTCACAGCAATGATGCATCTGATACTGAGGTAAGTGTAACGAGACTCAACATCCGAAAGTGCTTACACTTATATTTCATTGGCTTACATATGAAATGATAGGTGATAAATCTAAAATATAAATAGATATACATTATAGATTATCGAAAATTGATAATAATCATTATCTAATTTGTGTACTACTCGTAAATTGTAAAAATTGTCCTAATCTTTATTGAAACTTAAAGTACAGTTAATTCACTTGTATCTTATTTTCTCTTCTTTCCTTGACTACCACTATCCTTTAGCTGTAATACACAAAATTATGCCAAAAATTATTAATACGCGCTTTCTAATTTGATTGCTACTGTGTTCAAGCAAGTAAAAGATTGGTAGAGAAAGACTCAGTTATATTTACTATAAGTCTGATCATTAATTACCCTAAAAATTTGCTGCAGCATATGATTATTCAATATTTATATAATTATTAACATATCTCTATTGTAAAATGCTATATATTATTTCAGGAAGATCTATCCAAGGAGCAAATACAACGTGAGTAACTAAAGTTCTACTTTATTTAATATGAAAAAATGTTACAAATCAAATGAAAAAATCAAATGAAAAAAATTTTGTTTACGACACTGAATGAAATTTCTCAAACTACATTGAAATTAGTTATCGTTCAAAATCGCATTTCCAAATATTTCTCAACAAGTTTTCTGTCTGTTTCATTTCTATTTAAGAAATTTGTAAATTTAACTAATATTAATAAGTAAATAATGAAGATATCAGAGTATAAAGGTATTGAATCATATTACTAGAGCACATGGCGTAACTGACATATTAGAAAAGTATAACACAAAAAACTTACACCATTTTCGATGAGGAATTCTGCTCATGATTCGCTACACGCTTCGGAGTGGTGAAAGCATTAATTCTTGTACAGTTTCTTGTGGTAATGAGGATAAATGTGATTCTATCTTTGAACATTTTATTATAAGTGTTATAACCTTTACAGCCACGAAATCTATATATATTTCGACTACTTTTTTATCATCATTTTTATTTCAATAGTTTTGCAATATCATACTTGATTCTGAGATTTCTTGTATTTTTAGACACATGTAGCCTATATACGAGGGTGGTCCGATAAGTACTTAGCCTCACCGCCCGATGGCGCCACTCTCGCAGAAGAAATATTCTATCACGTAGTAAAACCTTCTCGATGGTTACTGTCAAGATCTCAGCCGGATCGGAGTTGTAGTTTATTTTTGAGAGCGTGTGAAAGCAAGTGTGTCCGTTGATTTTTGAAAAATGGAAAAAGAGCAGAATCGGTCGGTGATTCGGTTCTTGATTTTGGAAGAGAAATCGCGCAGCGAAATCAAAAAGCGCTTGGATGCTATGTACGGTGACTCTTCTCCTTCGATGGCGACCGTCAAAAATTGGTTTAACGAGTTTCAACGTGGTCGTACGTTGATTTTTGAAGAGCCACGTCCAGGTACTCCGAAAACGGCTACCACGGAGGATAACGTGTCAAAAATTCACGATCTCGTATTGGCAAATCGACGATTGAAGGTACACGAGATAGCTAAGGTCATAGGCATCGATTATCGTGACAGTCGACGAAACATGGATCCACTGGTATACATCAGAGACCAAGGAACAGTCGAAACAGTGGACTTTACCCGGCGAAAGTGCTCCGAAGAAGGCGAAGACTGCCCCATCATCCGCAAAGGTGATGGCCACCGTTTTCTGGGATTCACAAGGTGTGATCTACATCGACTACCTGGAGAGGGGCAAAACGGTTACAGGGCTGTACTGTGCCGAATTATTGGGCCAATTCGACGTCGAATTGCAGAAAAAATGACCCCATTTGGCGAAGAAAAAAGTGCTCTTCCACCATGATAACGCACCGGCTCACATCTCCGCCGTCGCCATAGCCAAATTGGTCGAATTAGGCTACGAACTGCTGCCCCATCCACCGTATTCTCCAGATTTAGCCCCATGCGACTTCTTTTTGTTTCCAAACTTGGAAAAGTCACTCGCCGGGCAAAAATTTGAGTCGAATGAGGAGGTAATCGCTGCCACGGAAGCCTACTTTTCAGACCTCGAGGAAACGTATTTTTCAGACGGGTTAAAGAAGTTGGAGCATCGCTGGGCCAAGTGTATCGAACTAAAAGGAGACTATGTTGAAAAATACAACGCCACTTTTCCAAAATTTTCGTTTTTCTTTTGTAGGCTAAGTACTTATCGGACCACCCTCGTATATATAGCATATACATATAACATTAGTTTTTTCAATGCTAATAATAATTTATAAATTTATAATTATTAATTATTATTATAATCAAATATGAAAAAAAATGTGTTGTCAAAAATCTAATCCGTTAGTGAGAAAATATTATTGTAAACATGTAATAAGATGACTTGGCAATTATTACCTAATTACCTAAGATAATGTTAGTATCATTGTTTTAATAGAAAAGTATAATGACAGTCGAAATGATAAGAAATGACTATTTTCTCTTTGCACGTGCCTTTGCATATCTCGAAATATATATTTTACTATATTTTGTAACTTTCTATGCTATTTAATGTGAAGGCTTTGTTTTATATACAAAAATTAATAAGGATGATACACGGTAAATGATGATTCGGGTTCTGAGTGTAATGCTTTTATAAAAGTTATTAGTTTAAAACCCTTCACGTAGAGTTTATAGGAGTCGTCAATGTTTATATCTAGTATAGTTTTATTGATTGTTATATTATATGATTCAGTGAATTTGTTGGTTAGCTTAATTCACAGGCCAACGAGGTTTCAGAACCAGAGACCAGACATAGTACACCCGAAGGATTTTGGCGCGCTGAATCCAATTTCGAGTTCAGAATTGCGTAAGCACGTCAGGATTTTGAGATATCCTAACCTAAATATGCGAAAATCACGTTTTTTGGCTATATTCGGTACCTTATAACATTGTGAATAACTTTTACATGCAAAACTGATAACGGTATCTGAAAGAGCAACTCTTGGCCGACAAAATGCATTACCGATTTTTTTATGTCTTTTTCCAGCAGAGATACCGTCAATTGAAATGTGCCATTTATCAATTGATTTATACTGGAGTATGAAAAATCTTGATTTTTTTTGCAATCTTCAGTAGTAGGAAAAACTTACACTGACATATAAAGGTCTACCATTGTACTAATTTACGGCGAATCTAGCTGAATTTATTAGATGCACTCTAAAATGGCAGCTATAAATTTAGGGCAGCCTAAGGCAGATGGTTATGACCTAAATGCACTGAAAATCCTATAATTCTAGATCCAGCGATAGATTAACTTAAGTGCGCTATAACCTGCAAGCTCAAAACCATGACAGGATTGCCTAAGTGTGCTGTAACCTACACTCAGCTTAAAACCACGACAAGTTAACCTAAGCGCTCTATGACCCGCGAGAGGTTAAGCTAAGTGCGTTATAATACGCGGCTGGTTGACTCAAGTGCGCTATAACCTGCAAGCTCAAAATCACGGCAAGTTAACCTAAATTCGCTATAACCTGCTACAGGTTAATTTAAGCGCGCTATAATCCGCAATAGGTATATTGAGTACGATATAACTTGCAAACTAGAATCCACGACAGTATAACCTATATGCGCAGTAACCTTCGAGCTCTAGACCACTACAGGTGAACTTACGTTCGCTATGATCTGCGAGCGCTAAACTCACAACAGGTTAAACTAAATGCAGTGAACAGTGAGGGTCAAGCACAGGACAAATTAATTTAAGTGGATTGTAATCCATAGCATTTCAACCTAAGCTCTAATGTAGTTAGAGAGGTTACACTAAGAAGCTGACAATCTTTAGAATGTATATTCTTAAACCTATAACCGTCAATTCTGTGATGTTATGCTTTCTTTTTGTGAAAACGTTGGCACTTCATTTCAAACGATCGTTGAAGAGATTTACGTTTGTGATTAGTAGGGTTATTATCATCCCTTTTCAATGACCAGCAGTAGTCGGCCATCATTTTTTCGTCCCACCTTCCTTGGTAGTATTGTTCCTTTTGTTTAAAATCTTGGTGAAATCGTTCACCCATCTCCTCACTATATTCTCCAAGATTTTCTGGGAAATAGTCTAAATGAAGGAAGTGTATTTTAAGGCTCATTAGACAACCCATTTTTCGGAAATTCTGTAACATGTTGGACACAATAGTTTCAAACTGCGGGTCTCGATTATTGCCTAAAAATTTTTCTGTAACATCTTTGAAGCTCAACCAAGCATTCTTTTCAACGAGAGTCATGGTTTCGATAAATGTATCATCTTTCATGAGTTTTCGTATATCAGGACCAACGAAAATGCCTTCCTTAATTTTTGCATCACTCAATTTCGGAAATGTGGCTTTCAAATGATTGAAACATTTACCTTCTTTATTTAAGGCTTTCACAAACTGTTTCATTAAACCTAATTTGATGTGAAGTGGTGGCAGTAATATTCTCTCTCTATCAACAAGATCTACGTAGGCGACATTATGAGAACCTATTTTCCATTCTGATCTTGTGGGCCATTTTTTTGTTACCCAATGCTTATCTCTTGCACGGCTGTCCCAAAGGCAGAGGAAACACGGAAATTTGGTATTTCCCGACTGCAAGCCAACTATAAGATTTATTATCTTAAAGTCACCACAAACAAGCCAATGGTGAGTCTTGTAATTTATTTTTTCCAGTAGAAATTGAAAATTATTGTATGATTCTTTTATTGCAGTTGAGTGACCTACAGGAAGTGCCGCACACTCATTTCCGTTGTGTAGTAACACAGCTTTGAGACTTTGTATGGAAGAATCAATGAAGAAACGCCAGTTTTCTGGCTTGTACAAATCTTGGATATACAATTTAACCAATTCTTCGATGTTATTACAGTACACCATCATATCCTCCATTGTAAAGTACTTTATGAACGCCTCTTCTCGGTTTCTGTAAATTGACACTTTTGTTCCAGGTAATAATAGCTTCCTTTCTTGGAGTCTTGAAGCACAGATTTCAGCTTTATCCTTTGGAAGATTGAGGTCTTGAATTAAATTATCTAACGAACTTTGGTCAAAAAGCTTAGGACTCTCGTCATCAGAACTATCTTCAAAAGAGACATCTTCAGTTGTATCAATATCCATCGGTTCAACTATTGCCGAACTAACTTCTTTTCCGGGTTTACTTACTTTTCCTACTTTGGCTGGTGTTACACTCGCTACCGCAGGGTAGATGATTTTATTTGAATTTTGTTTATTGAAACCCGTTGTATTACATAAGCAGAAGTAACAATCAGTTTCATGGTCCTTGGGCTCACGCCAGATGGTCAGTTCAATAACAGTCTTGTTGCTGCTATTATCATCCCACTTCAACATAGCAAGTCTGCAAGAATTACAAATTGAAGATGGTACCCATGTCTTATCTAAATTGTCGATCGGAACCTTATAACATTTCATATATAGAGTTTTATTGAATCATTAATTGATCGTCGATAAGAAGTTGTTTCAAACTTCCCATAAACATAACAAAATG